TCCATGTGGCAGTGCAAGTGTCTGAACCAAGCAATTCACAAATATATGGTAGTAATTTTAACCACAATTCAAAAATATATGGTAAATGGCAAGTTGTCTGAACTTGCATTGCACTTTGTTCAGTCCAAGAACTCCAAAGTGCTTTACACTAGAATCAGTCACATACACAGCTTACTTATTAAATATACTATATAAATTGCACCCCATATATTTTCAACAGACAGAGGATTGCATATGCCATAAAATAGAGTGCCCAGATGTGGTTAGGGAATCTAACTTTTCTTTTGATGGATCTGAAGGTATTTCAAGGTGGCTGAAAATGTGAATTGCTCTGAATATTAAACATTTTTGGCCCCTAATCTTCAGGTGTCCGCTGTAAAAATTAGGACAGACAATTAGCATAAATCATCAAAATAAATTTGTCTCAAGACAAAAGAAGGGAGAAATAAAAGCTTGTTTCAGACTTAATAAAAACAGGCTTTTCTGTTGAGACTAATAAAAGAAAGTTGATGGTATTGTGCAAGATTACTCGCATCTGCCCACTTGGAGAAATTCTATTCAAGATCAATGACATGACGTGATTGCCAATAGCATTTCTTTCCCCAAAACATTTTGGCAGGGTGTGAATAACGCCATCTGTTTCTCTCATTTAGTAGAGCAAACTGAAGATTCATTTCATTAGTAAATGATAAAGTCAAGTTAGTCAATGCAGTACTCAATCCCTGAGCCATATGGAAACTACTTAGTTACACACTCATCAACCAACATGGTACGATTATATTCCAGCGCTAAAAATAATTAAAAATACAAATTTCCTGCTGGAATCAATGTTCAATACTGCTTTTAGACTTAATGTTTAATATTGTACACATGGGCCAAGACATTTCCCATCAAGGTAAGGCAAGAAAGGACACAAATCCAAAAACCTTCAAGAAAACTGTAAAAGCAATAGTGATGACTGAAGGGAAAACCTGTTAATTCTTGTAATTTAGTTTACAAATCAACAGAAATTTCAAACGACTTCTGTTTAAAGCACTGACTGCAGCCTGGGAAGTTACAGCTTAACTAATCAGTTGTTATATAACAGCCATATATTTAGTTGCATTACACCCTGTGCCGACTGACCTACTTGTTGATCTGAAACATTATTAATCTCTGATCTATGGGTGAAAGACAACTTTATACACTCAACTATACACCACGCTCAGAGTCAAGGAGGCTCCCGAGAAGAACGAATGAGCCATGATTTCTTTGCAATTGTTTAGGCAACAATTACTGAAAAGAACCACTTAAATGGCTGATCCACTGCCTGCTTCCTCATCTTCAGAGCAGGATCAGTCTTTAATTAGCTGAGAAGACAAAAACCCGAGCTTGGTCTTGTCAAATCAGATTAAATTAATGAGCAGTGGCGGGCCGTCAGGGCTTTCAAGGTATTCATAGAAAAAGCCCAAGGTATTCACAGAAATTAAGTAATATTTTATGTAACAATTTAAAATAAGTGACTCCTGTATAAAAAACCACCTGGATCGCATAAAATAACAGTGATTCTGATTAAACAATAGTTTTTTTATTAGTCGTTCAATTATATTAACAGTGAACCAGATTTTGCTGTTTAATAACCCCAAAACTGAAAATAATTTGAATTGTTACTTTTACAGTTAAAAATATAATCATATGCAAATATTGCATTATGTTGGAGAGAAGTAACTTTTTTTTTACAGAAGCTGAGTGGATTTTTAGAGAAGTGCTTGTTTGAGGCTCTGATTATATTCAGTGAAAAGTATTTAGCCCAACACAAGTGATGATTTTAAAAATACTTTTTATTCTGACCTTTATAATAGATACTACAAAATGTTGTCGTCACTCATTCCTAATCACCCATTGATGTTTCATTTACTGGCTGAAGACATTCTAGCTTAGCTAGAGATTATTATTATTATTATTTCTTTTTTTTGCCTTAGTCAGAGCTGGCACTATAGTGAAAGAATCCAATGAAATCCAATTCATTGTCAGTTCAAATAGAATACAATACAGTAGAATAGAAACAGCTTTCATTGCAAAGAGAAATTCAGGTGTTACTTGATTTTAAACTTTTCCCTTTTCAAGAAGGTGATACCACAAAAAAATTGTTAAAATACATACACTCGTACACTGCTTCAATCCTGATTTATAAGCCATTTTCAGGTTTGTAACTGTAAATTATGGACATGCCTAATGTCTGAGTTTGGCTCCAAACATTCTGCTGCTGGGAGTTGAAGGTGTGGTCTTTGAGATTAAGTCTTTTAACTGCAGCTGTGTAAAACAGAAAATCAAGATTATGATGACGTTTTTGAGAATACATAGAGATTCTTTTTTCAGATCCATCCTTAAATTGTTTTGAGGTTTGTCGTTGTTTTTTTTCCTGTTTGTGCTCCAAACATTTTACTACTGAAGCGCAGCCTGTTTTAGTGAACCTGGTTGTTCCTTTTTTCTCCCCATACACAAATACTTGTACTACATTCGTATTGAAGGCTTGCATTCAGTGTGTTATTTGTGTATGTTATTCTCTGCTCTGCAGATGGTATGTTTAGGTAAAATGTCCTTAAGAGAAACTCGGCTAAGGTGCATTGTGTTGCCAGTGAACTGGATGAGCAGTTGTGCACTGAGCTTAACCCACATCAACCAATGTGTGTTGAGTTAAAGTTAGGAAGGTTGCTTTAGTTGGAACTTATAAAGTCACTGGATCCAACTGTGACCTGCCTGCCTCACTGGTGGTATTGGTGATGCAGCAGCGTTCCTCAGGAATCACGCCATTTGGACGGAGACTGCTTAACTGTGAAAGCCACGGTTCGTCACTTTTAATGAGCAACTAGTGAGAAGTGGGAGCTGGTTTGCAGCACAAGAGGAAGTGGCATCTGAAATACCCCCTTGTCAGAAACTGACAACGCAAACATGGCAAGAATGCATCCCTTCTTCCCTTACACTGATATGATTTAAATTGCACTATGTATGTATTCAGACCTATGTGACTGCATGCTTACACAAACAAAGATATAACATAAGCTCTCTATGTAAAGCAACTATCAATTTCAACATACAAGTGAATTTAACTAATAGATTGATAAAAAGTTAACAGTTAATTTTGAGGTCTGACCTGCTAATTACAGGGTATTTTTATTCTAAGAACTAACACTTCAAAGTTATCTGCTATAGGTTTTATTGAGGGACATAGTAATTTGATTGTAAAAGAAAACAATAGAGTTTACAAGATTTTTTTTCATTTAAAGTAAATGTCCCTCCTATATTGTTTTTATGAAACTCAAAGTGTGTCACTTTTGTAATCTAATGGGAAGGGGGATGGCGGAGGTACAATTTTATAAAACTAAACCCCCCAAATAATCAATGGGAACTGATTCAAGGAAAATTAGCTGATTGATTGGTGCATCTCTAAAATCAATTGATCTACAATCATCCATGTTCCAACACTTTACAAGAGACTGAAGAACATAAGCAGCTGTCAGGGGAATGACCACACATTCTCTGCACAAGTTGCAAAAAGATGGGATCTTTACAGATCCAGGTTGGAAGAACATCCTTTGCTTAACCAGGTCTGAACAAACTTTAAGCTAAGTTAAAGTTCAGTTGTAGATAAGAGAAGAGGGGTGGGGGGGCTGCTGATGTTTTACAACTTAAACAATAAAAGAGTTGTGGTCCACTGCAGCACTGGGGTGCAGCAGCATTTTTATGTGTAAATCCAACAAGTCGAGCTTTGTGAGTCAGTGTCCATTGTAGTCTGTTCAGCAGGGCATGGAGAAGAGCCCAGAAATGTGTTTCAACTAGCCATGAAACTCGGTTTGAAAGCTGGGTCATACAACTTGCTGTGCTACCTTGTGTGTGTGTGTGTGTATGCATGGCGAGAGGCAGCGCAACAATGGTCAGTACCGTCATCGTGTTACTGCCGCTCACCTGTGTTTTGACGATGCCTAGCCGAGACCCACTGCATCGGTTCCGCTCTCTTTCCCATATCCCTCCGACAGTCCTGCTCGTTCGCACACCGGATCACCGGTCAGGCGGGGTGAATCTTGAAAACGTCTCACCGTTTGATGTAAAATAACCATGCAGACGTCATCGCAACCGCCGACACATGAATGGACCCCCAACACGTCGAAGCCGCGGAGGCTCCTCGGTTATCTGCCGGGCGCCGGGTCGACCCGACACACACCATCCAGCAGCCAAATTAATTACACAACCGCGTTGAAGGCGTTCGGGAACTGACAGCTCGGTCCTCCGCCTGATTCGCCACACGTCTCCGGCTCCGGCTCTTCACGGAGCGGCGTGGATCATTTTCCATTCCATTCAGCGCTCGGCATGATGATTCCTGCTTGGTGGGAGATAGAAAATCCCTCGCGTTTTTTCCACGACCGGGACGAGCTTCTCTCCGGTGGGTGGAGGGGGTTGGTGGTGGGGGGTTGTGGTGTAGTTCAGGGGCTTGTGTGTGCCAACTCCCGAATCCTGTCACGGACTAAAACGGAGGCAGCCTTATTCCGACAACCAAGCCCATCCTCTGAGATATTCCCCACCGAAATACACGTACTAACTTGCTATTCCCCGTCCGCGGAGAGCTGCGTAAGCGCCGTGAATGGCTGGTTTACGCTTCGCTTTATGAACCGTTTAGCCGTGGACACTTTTGGGAATCTTGCGGAGAAATGGCGACACCAGCGGTTTGTGGATAGCAGGGAGCGGTAACTGGTTCAAATGGAGTGGTGTGTGTGGAGAGGTTGCCTCTCCCCTCTGTGACGTCATCCAGATAAACCTATGGAAGATCCGACATGTGTTGTTTTTCTGTTTCTTTGTCAGAAAACAAGCCGTCTTTCCTGAAGGACGCGATTAAAAATGTGACAGTAAATTGCTGAAAAAAACAAACAAACAGCCAACTGGAACAAATCCGTCTTTTAACGTTCTGCGCATGCTCATGACCTAGAGCGGTGTTTTTTCAGCGTTTTGTCGTTTCCACAGTGACAACACAGCGCTGCAGGGATGATATCAACTGGGATGTGAAAATCATTTTACAAAACTGATTTTTTTTTAACGATTTTAGGAGCAATCTCGTGTGAAATTATGGGAATTAGGCTACAGTAAACTACTACAGATTAGAGTAAATATTTTGTTGGCGCTGATTCACTTCAAGCCCGATGCACTCCGTCCAGAGACTGACATCTGACGAGTCAGGACAACAGATTTTGTCAATACCCACCAAGGTGCGTGATGAGAAAATAATATAGAATATAAAGGGGTTCTTTGTTTCGCAGTAGGAAGACCGCAGCAACGTCAAAGGCAACAACACACAAGCATACACACATTCAACTGAGTTGTTAGGGATATGAAAGAAGAAAGCATAAATGTGATGGGAATTTGTTCAACATCACTTATCTATTCTTTTTTTTCCAACACTGAGATAGATCTATCTATCTATCTATCTATCTATCTATCTATCTATCTATCTATCTATCTATCTATCTATCTATCTATCTATCTATCTATCTATCTATCTATCTATCTATCTATCTATCTATCTATCTATCTATCTATCTATCTATCTATCTGTAATTTTTTTCATGTAAAATGTGATTATTATGTGAGGACCACCTAATTTGATAGGTTGAAATAATACTCATTTCCAAAAAGTTTTTGAAAAATATACCATGTCAGTCCCTCTCCCCTGTTTTGAGCAGCCACATGGTACATCCCAGTCTATCCAGCTCTCCTCCTATTGCCCTCCCTCTTGCTTTCAGTGTCCTCCATCTCTCTGGTGTCGCTCATTTTCCTATATTAAGGACATCTTAACTTCCAGAGCTCTGCCTTTTCATCCATCCATTTAATCTCATGATCTCAACCTAACTGTTTGAAAGGTAAGCACATCCATTTTCCTCTTGGACTGTATCACAGCAGTATTCAGAACAGGAGCCTTTTTTTTTTTTGTCAGGATGCTTCTTGCCTGCATTTTGTGTTGTGATGCAATCTCTCGCGACCTGATTTATTTCTCCCCATTTTCACTGATTTGCTTGTCATTCATTTCTTCCTCCATCGATGGATGCTCTCCTCCATCTTGGTATCCATTTATAGCACATATGACTCATTAGGTTTTTACAGTCAGACCGAGGGCAAGGCAGTGAAATATATTAAATACTTTACATCTTGTTCATGTCAGGGTCAACAGAACAAGGATTCATTTAGATGCACATCTTTTAGCACTGTCACCCCTGCCTTCAGTACGAAATTACATGATTGCTGAATTTAACTACAGAAAGAAAAAAAATCCTAACACCGTTAGGATGTGATCACCGTTTTAGAGGGTTGTTATATTACAGATCTATGGCCAATCTAAGCATTTTCATGTTCCTGTGGGCATTGAAGTAGTCCCATCAATGCCATTTTTCCCAAGGTCACATTCCAGGCTCACACATGGCTATCAGGGCCTCATACATATTTCATTCTAACCACTCACATCAGAGCACATAACATGGTGACAGGGGGCTAATTGGAAAGGATGATCTGTCTGTTTGCAGTTTTTCGCCAGTGAAGCAGCTCAAAGCTGACCTTGTATAGACTCTTACTGACCAGACCACACCACACCTGTGTCCCTGAATCCATGGAAGCCAAAGCCAAGGCAGGGGCTCCAGCACCCAAGGCAGCATCCAAAACAGACAAGAAGGAGCCAGCAGCACCACGCAAGGCTGATCACGCCCCTGCGGACCCAGAGCCCGAGGATCCCCGCTTCTCCTCTGTTCAAGATGGAGCAGCAGAAGCTGAGTCAGCAGCGGGTGACAAGGCCTCTGGTACAGACTCTATGGAACATCTCAAGCCTTTTCTTATTGGCGGTGCCATTATCGCTGCAGGAGCCATTTTGCTGGGAGTTCTGCTGCTGGCAAGGAGAAATTAAAACCAAATTAAGATAGGAATATTGCTGACTGGTTCACAGACTTTTCTGGTTTGATGAGCGATGGGGAGACACAGCAGTCTGTGTGTATTTTCTTTTTTATCTTTGTCTTATTTAGGGTTTCTTTTTTGGCCTGCTTTCATGTGTAGTGCATCAGCCTATGTAATGTTTGATCAAGGCTTTATAGGGAGCATAACTATACTTACTATATGCATGACGTTGCTACAATACTGCATATAAAATGTAATTAGAACATTTTTTAAAAAGAAAAAAACTACACTCCATTACATAGCCAAATGAACTCTTTAATGTATAAATATTGATAGAGTTTTGATATTTATGCAATCTTGCTGTTTATTTTGCTTAAGGTCATGAAAAAAAATCTCTATCAATGTCCCTCGACTATCTATGATTTCAAAGTAAATGAGTTGGTGAAAGGAGAATGTTCTGAAAGTTTTGGCCAAATAAACTAAATACAAGCTGAATAGTGAATCGTAAAGATTGAGATTAATTTGAGTCTGTGCTCTAGAGAAAGTTTACTTTTGTGACCTTGGAAACAGAAGCTGAAGTATAGATTTTGATCAGTTTTGGGCTGGAAACATGCAAAGTGTGTTTAATATATGAAGTATGTGCCAAGAGAGGTAAAAAAAATACATTAAAATCTATTTCATGTTGAGATAAAGACATTAGTTTTTATCCAGAGTCAAACCTGCATATTTTGGTTGATTCTCAGTTGTTACAGATGCTTTTCCTGGGCTAAGTTCAGAAAAAAATACACTATATTAATGTTCAGAAATCTAAAATCACTTACCTTTTTTTTTCTTTTTTTTCTTACAATCAGAACATACAATCATGGCATGGGTAATGATAAAGACTGCAAAGGACTGAACATGGAATCAAATATTCTTTTGGTGTAGAATAATGAAGATATTTTTTTCTTGTCAAATACTAATACAAATTTATTATCTCTCACATATTTCCAAGCAAAAATACTTTTGATATTTGAATTTGTTTACATCTAACACTTGACACTGTATTATATGTGGGTTACATTAGACTGAAAGACTGCTATCAAAACATCAGATGTTTTTGTCTTTCCTCTGTGGTGTTGTTGAATGCAAAAACCATATAGGTGACATGAAAGTACCTTACATTTACATAAGCATAAAAGTTATGTGGATGTTTGCTCTCGTAATTCACTCACAGAAAAAACACACACAGTTGTTGCTGCACAAATTTATCTGTACAGCGGTTCACAGTAATTTCTGCTTGCACTGCATAACTCAAGTTGACTGACTACAGTAGAAAGATACGTCTCACACACATACACACACTGGTGGTCTTAATTTAAATAAATTAAACACAGTTTAGAGAAAGTTATTCATAAACATTCACAACTTCCCTATTACGATAAAAAAAATAGTATGCCAGTACAAAAATGTCACCTTACATTGTACTATACAGTGTATTTAAAAAAGTAGTATAAGAAGAAAATTCCTATTTTCATAATTTCAAAAGCGTATAAATGCAATAATTCAAGTAGGAGTCCTCATTTAGCATATGTGCTGTAGCAGATTAAAATACATAGATGATGTAATCATGTATGGTGTTACTGATGGCTATGATAGTGATGATATTTATCATGGTGACTGTAATGATGATACTGATGGATATGATATTATATATATATACCTTTGTATATATATATATATATATATATATATATATATATATATATATATATATATATATATATATATATATATATATATATAAAACTATATACTTTAACATAACTTCCTTATGCACCCTCCCCTCTGCTCTCAACCATTTGATTGTAAAGAAAAGAATTTGAAAATCAACATTATTAAAGGCGGTGAACCAGGCAAAGTGATTACTTTTGTTCTTTTTTTTTGTTTATGTTTTGTCAGCTGTGTTAAGGCCTTCTTTATGTCAACTTTATGCCCAACAGCTAATCCAAGGAGGGCAAAAATTCTCTAATTAGGAATGAATGAAGAAAGTATGAAAACTATTACCGGGCTAAACAAATGTGTGTGTCCATCTTAAAATGGCATGGCAAGATTCAAAAGAAGTTTTCTGTATGGGCATATTTAATGTCTTTCATATACCATATATCAACACATGCCAGTTTTTGTCTTTATTATGAAGAGTAAAATAGAGTTCATTGTACAAAAGAGACCATATTGGTAATAATTAATATGTAGTTATTACTTTTGTGTGATTAATATTTGTTTACTGAACCATAATAACTACCATTTACTGGGCACTGCTTGGTTGTATCTTTTCTCACCCATGGATGCAACTAAATGTGAGACAATCTTTTATGTTGTGAAACAATAAACTGGGCCCTTCAAAAAATGTTGAAACATCTTGCCAGATGAGGACTACTGACAATTTTTAGCTGGCCTCCAAAATCAGAGCTAAAAGAATTTTAGACGTTTCCCTAAACTATTGTTTTATGAAGATATTGTAAACTTGTGCACATTGACATTAGTTGCATTATATTACCTTAATAAATTAGCCCAATTGAGAAGTAAAAAAATATTTATTATCTTTTAAGTTGAAAATAAAGTCAAAATAACCATATTATACTATCAATATCTGGCCAAATGAGCCCAACCATAAGAGGCACCACTGAACATAGCATTGTAGTTTGTTTAAAAAAAATAAATTGAGATACATTTATAATAAATTTCCGAAACACATATATATATTTAATCTAGTATCGTATTCTTACCTCATCCTTCCGGAAACTCGCCCAACTATGTCGTGTTTTTACTGACAATTATTTGTGCTTTTATCTTGGAAGAATCTGAACCGGAAGTTGTTACAAAGTCAGGGGCAAACGGAGTAGGTAACGTGCTGGACTCTTTCGCCTAGAAAAATCTACCCTTTGTTGGGATTTTCTGGTTGATTCTCTACCATATTTGGTTACGGTGAGTGATAAAGTGGAACAAGACTGTGTATGTGTACTGGAACACATGCCAGAAAATTAGTGTTATGCACAAGCTATTGCCGGAAGTCAATACATTTCAAAAATGTGCGCTCGTGGTAGGCTAACATTAGCTTAAAGCATTGATTTTACTTATCCAAGTTCTTTCTTACATAACATCAAAACATATTTTCTGAACTTTTAACGAGATTCACATCTCTGTAAAGGAATCTCTTATAATTATATTTCTGTTGTATTTATGGCATTGCTTGTGGGCAAGCTGTAGTTATCCTATGGTAGCAAAACAACATGTTAGCAACACGTACTTTGAGTCGCAAGGATCACCTCATTTCAGGAGTCACTTTTTAAATTATTTTTACATCGTTCATTGTAGTTTTCGAAACAGTATTATAAACATGCACGATTTTTGCTGAAAATTACATATAAGCATGTTTTTTCATTGTCATTATTGCAAACTTTGGTATAATACCGGGATGTTTGATCTATTTTCAGACAACCGCAACAATGATCATCCCGGTCAGGTGCTTCACTTGTGGGAAGATTGTGGGTAACAAGTGGGAAGCTTACCTTGGCTTACTTCAAGCAGAATACACTGAGGGGTGAGACATCTTTTCATTACTACCTGTACTAAATTTTCAGTTTTGAGACAAGTTTCTGGTGTATGATGCAACATAGATAATAATAATACAAATATTTAAAAGGTAATATTGTACCCACTATGCGGGGACAATATAGTCGTATACCACTGTTGTATGCGACTGTACAATAATACCACATATAGTCACTGATGTTACTTCTCTTCTCTTTTTTCCCTAAGTGATGCACTGGATGCCCTGGGCTTGAAGCGGTACTGTTGTCGAAGGATGCTGCTGTCTCATGTGGATCTTATTGAGAAATTGCTGAATTATGCTCCGCTTGAAAAATAACTCCCAGGAACTTTAAGGACAATGGAGGGTTTTGGGGCATGGAATCATTTAATGGCTATTTAGTTATGCTTTTTTTAATATAAATAAAATAATTTAAAATGTTTGTTTCTTATCATTTTGTCACTCTGCAGCAATGTGTTTTTAATCAGGCAACATTAAACCACTAGTTAAACTTGTGTACATGATCTACAAAGTGTTTAAAAACTGGGTAAATATTTCTGATGCTTTTTTAAAGGTTAAACAGTGGTCAGATGTCAAGCAAGTAAATTAAAAACACACAAAGGTGATCTTTTAGGTACTTTTAATAAGATTGACAGAACACAGGTTTCTAGTTTTTTTTTTTTTTTTTTATACAAAAAGGGAAGAAAACAAACTTAACAGGTGTTCACAGCATGCAAATGTTTCTATTATACATAAAAAAAAATTTACAGGCCTTTTGGTTAAACAAAGTTATACAATGAATGTATTAGAGGAAAAAAGTACATTTTACACTTTGAAGTTCAGATTCCTTGTAATGTTTATACAGCTTGGTGCAAAAACAATGCCTTTTCTTCAGTCAAAATCAGCCTAGAAAGAAGAGGGAGTGGGGAAAAGGGAGGCATTGCAAAGACGTAGTTAAATTTCAAATATGGATTGAAAGTAATACACAAATACAAACATGTCAAGTCTTTTCATAAATTCTGAACTTCTATGTGTGCTAAATCTGGATAATGATATCCAAAATATTTCACTGCCACAACAGTGTAGCGGTTGTAGTTAGAAGTTGAAAATTCAAATATCCTAGTCTGAAAAAAACTGGAACACTGTTGGATATCCTACTGGAAAAGTGGATGCAACAGAAACTACCTCCTGTTATGACCTGTAAGGCCACATTTCAATGTGGCTTCTCCTCACAACAAGAAAAATATGGTGGAATCATGTAAAGGACCTATAAGAGTGTCTGAAATCAGTATTACATGTCAACTCTGAAATTGAAAGTGGTGTTTGCTGTAATAAAGTCACATAAGTCTGTCTTTCTAAATTAGGTCATGCTTCTAAATCACAAAATACATTGCATATAGAAAATATCCAGGATAGAAAACGTGTTATATTTTGCAGTCTAACACAAAACATGTTAATAGCAGCAATAAAACTCCAAAGCCCTTAAACAGAACTTTAAAATTTCAGCACTCTTTTTCAGTAGCAACAGTTCTCAGTAAACAGCTGAGAAGTGAGGCTGCTTGACCTTTGGAAATTAATATTTACTCGTGAAACTATAAAAAGAATTCTACCTCATCAACAGTCTTGTGGGTTGGTGTTTCAAGTGATTATTGGATGGGAAAGGTCTGGATTGCTGTCACACCAGACCAAATAATCTTATAATAAATGTTCCCTGAAAAGGACACTGACTGTATGTTGATATTTTCCCTAAATCCAGTATATACCTTGAAGTATTCATGTTGCCCTTCCAAAGATACAAGTTCCCAGTTATGTTTGCACTAATGCTATCAAAATGGGAGGGACTTCAACTCAGTACTGTTAAAAATCTCATTCTTGCACAGTCCCTGCAGTCATAATATTTTGGATTAAACATCACAAATTTTCAAAGCAAACATATTTCTAAGCTTGCAATTTACAACAAACGTTGTTAACCAACCATTCAGTCTGCAGAGGTAATCAAACCAATAAATCCAGAAAGTTATCGAATTGTGAAAAACTTACCAATTTAGCGGTATCGATCTCTGTGATCTCTGTGTCGTTCCCGCTCTCGTGAACGCTCCCTGTCCTTCTCTTCGCTCCAGGAACGTTCTCTGTATCTTCGAGATCCTCCTGTGCTGTCCCTGTCATAAGTGTCGCCTCGTTCTCGTTCTCTGTACCGTTCTCTGTCACGCTCATGGTCTCTGTCACGTCCTCTGTCCCTTTCTCTTTCTCTGGAATGACGGCTTGGTCTGAAAAGTGAAGTGATTTGGGTGATAAGGACTGAGAGGATAGAATGGCTGCTATTAAGAAAAAGCTGCTAATACAATTATAAATACACACTTGCAGCCATAGTCTCCTTGGATTGAGACTAAGCAATCTTTGAGTGAGGTGACAAGTGCTTGACAGTTTTTATCTCTGCACACTCTAGATTGCTTAATGATGGCAATAGCACTTAATAGCGTTTCCATGGCTGTATTCAGGTTTCCTGCAATGACACAAAGAAGACAGGTTAAGGACATTAGGCTTATTAAAATGTCATATTCAGTGCTGGTGTAAACACACCACTTTATTTCCAATTCTTTCTAAAAAGTTTTACAAAAAGGCTCAATGTACCAGGAACAAACTGTCCAAAATTAAAACACTGCTGCAAATAACCATTTAGTTTTTTTTTTTTTTTTTTTTTTTTACTGAAACTTTTCCTGGATAAGTGCTTATGTGTAAATACCTTATCTTTTCAAAACTCCAGTCATAGCAGGTGGTTGCTCATGCTGTGTAAGGTTCTGCCTGTTTAAGGAGCATTTTCCTTTCCACTGTCACTATGTGCATGCTCCATATAAAAAACTGCTGGAAACTTAACAGCTCAATGGAATTGGCTGAGTTTTCTTAGAAGTAGGATCAAGTTGATGCATGACATTGACTGGATCTGTCTGTATGACTCGACTGAATTGACTTGTTTTGTCAAAGTCCCTTTAGACCATATTTTGTTTTGATTTGCCATTATAAAAATAAATCAAATTTCAACTTTTTAAAATTAATTCAATCAAAACTAGTCCTAAATTCTGCATTAGTTTTGAAATTAAGAGAGACATGCATATGGAGTTTGCTTAAGA